ATATATATATATATATATATATATTAATATATATATATATATATATATATATATCAACGTGTATGTTTCTATATTTCTTTTCCCGATCTAATAGGAAACCCATTTTTCTACGATAAGCAATCTTGTTTTCTACGTAACTGCGGGAATTCTTCCTAAAGATCGCGAAACAGCCGCGATACACTGCCCTGTTAGTCCTGTGTCAAATTTCGCGTACAGGAAACTGTCATTTGTTTCAAAAAAGGAGCGGAGATTTAGACTCACTAGAACTTTATCAAAGAAGGAGAAAACTTTCGATTTCTGTTGGGTCAAAGAAGGGTGCCGAGCTCTGTTTCAGTTTCATACTCTCACTCATCTAAACAGCGGAGAAAACCGTCTATCTAAAACGTTTGCAGTTTCGCAGACCACCAACGAAGCAAATACTGGACCACACAGATCTACACTTGACGAAATCCATTGTTGTTTCTGAAACATCGGGAAAACCGAAACAGATCGCTCAAGACGAAAAACTATAGACCTTGAAAAAGGGAAAAATTCTTCAGTTTAACATTTTTTAGGATAGGTTGTTTGACACAAGAAGGAGGAGAGCCTGGCGTTAGCCGGGCGATCCGATTGGTATTTTTCTGAAGGCACGTAAGTGTTCGATTGCGATACGCAATGATAATGTCCATGCCGATGAATTAGTAGACAAAAATAACTACTCTTATCCATCTCAAAAGGTGTGCTGAAAAAAAATTCGGAGCACGAAAAGCATAACAACAGTTCATGTTGTAATAGGAAATGTTGGAAGAAAATGGAGGATACACTGCCTTCACCTTTTGCGTTGCTTCGTCTTCTATTGCAAAGTTTGAAGAAAACGGAATGAGTAATTGTAATTGAGTAAATGTAGAGAGGGAGATTGAAGTAACACTTAGAAAATTTGACGAAAGGTCCCTTCTGCCAAACTGCCTTCTGCACATTCAAAACGTACATAATTTGGGGCAGCATTCAATACCACTTTTGTTTACTTTTGTTTTTACCTGCTCAGTTCTCACTGCAATACCCATCCCATTGAGCGGAAAGAAATTGCAGATGTGTGTTGATGGATCATCTACCATCCACCATGCTTGGCTGTGGGTTTGAAATACTTTAAATTTAATCGCCCATCGGAAGGACGATCATACACTCAACACCTTTGCTTTTGAGGGCCTCTGTATGCTTAATCATCTTGAAATCCGTTTATAGAGATTAACACCGCGTACTAACTGATTTTTATACCGCCGCAAACACGGAACCCTGCATGCAGCGATTCTTAAGTTGATTCGATAAGTTGACAGCGAAATGTATACAGACAAAATGTCGCGATGTCAAACCTCAAGAGTTTGTGGGCATGAAGAGTTCGTGATTCTCCGAAGATGTTTCATTTTCGCCAGAATCAGTTTTCATTTCAAGAGTGTTCTGCAACATCTTGTAAAACTTCCTCTTTGGCGACCTCCGCTCTTGAGCCTACCAGCAGTAAATGAGATGATGGTGAAAACCGAAAAAAACATCATGTATACAAAACTCTAACAAAACGCAAAACTGTTGTCAAAAAAAGTTGCTGGTGCTATCGGAATTTCGTTCATGATCGCATCCTATTTTGCACGGCATTGAAAATGACTGATATGTACAGAACATGCTTAGGCAGCTTAGGTATCGCATGAGTAAGCTCCAATCAGCAGAAAAAAGTTGTAATCGAAATAATGCTTTGTCGGAGGCTTCCGAGCTCTACCACCTTGGTGATCACTGGTATGGATTATCTGTAGAGCAGTTGCNCAAAACGCAAAACTGTTGTCAAAAAAAAGTTGCTGGTGCTATCGGAATTTCGTTCATGATCGCATCCTATTTTGCACGGCGTTGAAAATGACTGATATGTACAGAACATGCTTAGGCAGCTTAGGTATCGCATGAGTAAGCTCGTGCAATTCCAGTCAGCAGAAAAAAGTTGTAATCGAAATAATGCTTTGTCGGAGGCTTCCGAGCTCTACCACCTTGGTGATCACTGGTATGGATTATCTGTAAAGCAGTTGCCCTTCGAGAAAGAGAGCTGAAAGGGAGGCATGTGGTACAGAATTTCTGCTATAAATTTCTCGGCCAGTTTTAGGTCAATTGACAGGTCACGGAAGGATAGGAGACATAGGCGTGTGTTGAACCAGGATTCCCATAGTATGCACCACCTACCACTATCCCACCTTTGTTCGAAGAGATTAAGTACCCAGAACGGAAGTAAGCGTGTCGAAGGGTTTTGAGCTTCCACATTCTTAGAGGACCTTATGTAAAAATTATGGCTGTTTAAGCCCAATCGGTGGACTTCCAGATGGGCGGCTATCGATCCAGGACATGATTAGTGGATCATGGTTGAGAGAGTGTACGCATCTTCCCAGTACAACACCTCCGCCTACATGGCCAATTGCGAAAAGAGACTTCAAAAAGGGTAAAAGCGTTGAAGAAGAGTAGGGGATGGACAAAATGGGCAGTCTGAAAAATAAGGAGCGAGGAAGGGGCCTTGAAAAAGACTGGTTGTCGTGATTTGAAATCGAAAAGAGATAAGTGCGCTACGAGTTAGCACCAATATTATTTTTAATTATTAGGTTGACGGATAAATATTGCGGATTTTTCTCAGCAAATTTAATTTATTGAAACGATAGAAATATTTAGCAAAGGTATGTTCAAATGATTACTCTGGAACGTGTCCCCAATCCACCTCAAGCGCTACTTCCCATTTGCTAGGCAGTCGGTTTTCTAAGGTGGAGAGGTTTCGATTCTTGGAGGCGATCCACGCCTTGATGTCGGCTATCAAGTCATCCTTTTCGCCGAAAGTTCTGTACGCCAGTCAATTTTTCAAAGGGCGGTTCACGTGGTAGTCCATAAGAGTTTCTGTTGGTGGACAGGGCGAACGTAGAAGCAGATACCGCTCCTCAGTCGGCTTTGGCTTACTGCTCCATCGCCAAAAAGTTCGTTGCGATCACTTTATAACTGTGCCATCTTCCAACTTTTCTCGAGGTAACAGGGCGTGTTTTGGCGTATATGAAGAAGACTTTCCAGGCATATTTCTAATGAAGAAAGTAGGAGATTTTTTCTATTGAATCCCGAATTCAATGTCAAATTACGTTGAGAGAATAGAAGCCGCCAAAAAAATAATTATGCATCAACCTATTGTATATTTCGTATACGAACTAACTCATTTCATAATAATAATTCATTTCATACAACGTCAGCTGAAACTACGAATGGGAGAATAACAACCCGCAGAGGCTTATGAACTTTGAGCCATCAGAAGTGCTTCTAAGCCCTTTACCAGTAACTGTGAACCTAGCTCGTAAGAGACTACGTAACCTACTCTACCGGCACTGCTGTCAAGTTAGTCGTTTTTGTAGAAGTTGAATGTGCATCTTAAAAGATATCGAAGCCTCATTTTATGAAAACAGGCCTCTTCAAAACAGTGAAAGTCGAGTCATCCACCATTCAGACGGAGTCGAGAGCGTAGATGCTTGAGATAGGTTTAAACGAAAGGAAACAGTAAGTAAAGCGGTCGTTAGACCAGCGAAATGAACCCCTTGTTTTGTTTTTTGTTTTTTAGTTCTGTGAATGTGTATGCACTGAAAATATTTCCACGTTTTTGACAGCTCCGGAGTATGATGGAGCCAGGTACTGAGAAATATTTAGAAGGACTCGTTAGAGCAAAAGGTAGATGGAGCAAGTGCATTTGGTATATAGGTTCCATATATCATCTGAAAAGGGCTATTTTTGCAGCTCCATTGGAAATGTACGAATCGCCTCCGTTTTCAAGACCCTGTAGCATTTCGAAATCCATAAAAAAAGGCTCTTCACTTACCGTCGTTTTAGCTTTTATGGTTTCAAAAGCATAAATTGCAAACCGTAATCTTTCCTACTGTCGAACTTCATTGAAATTTTCATCGTCAACTTGCGGTTTGCACTGTGTATAGTGTTTCCGGAAAGAACTTCTATTGTGTCCATATTGCAGAGCCATACGTCAGCTAAGGAAACTATGCAAGACTCGTCTGGGATTCAAAACGACAACCTATGATTGCAAAACGTGGCAGCCGAAGGCGTTCCTAATAACAATATCGAAGCACAATGCCAGTTACTACTCATTTTCTTGTTTTATTCATGTTACCGAGGCTCTCTGTTGCTGCTGAGAATGTTTGCTTGGTACCTCGTGGTTTTCTATCTTGTCTTATTTTTTT